TGTCTTGCTAATGGTCACAGCACAGAGAGCTGGCATGGGAAAATCCAAGGTCCATGACTGGGCGTGGCTCTGTGACTTAGGTAGATGATGGCACTGTTGACTGTGTGAGCACATGTGGTATGACTCTTCGGGGTCAATTCTACTAAGACTTCAGTTAAGTCAGTTAAATAGCACAGTAAACTGGATGTTCTTTTTAGAGTGAAACAGGGCAAGCAACTCCTCTGCTTGCAGTGCCCTCCCAACTCAAGCACCCACAGTGTACAAGTACTCTGTTCACATGTCCATTTCTTAGAGAAGGGCAAGTCCCTGAGCACCCTCCCTGGGTGATGCAATGAACTCCTCTGCCCATGTTCTTTTAACTCTCTACCTGTTATGTCTCCTTCCCCTCTAGAGTTTAAGGTTATCCTTGGCAAGTGTCTTGTTGCACCACTGTCTCCTTGAACTCAGGCCACGTCTAACGAATAGAGGAGCGAGATGAATAGATGCATTCACAATACCAGTGCACTCTGGGTCAACATTCAGGTTGTACATGAATTCTTAATGGAGAACCAAAGAACCCAATAAAAAATCATTTGTCTGTCACACAGAATCCCCTGTACCATCTGTGGCTGCTTTTTACCTCTACCACCACTCTCCCCTCCCAGTGCACTTCAGGGAATACTGCTTCAGAGCAGTAAGTGAAGCACAGTCCACTAGCAGGTGAGTCTGTCTCTGTGACTCTCAAAAAAGAGGCTGAAGGAGCTCTGTGGCAAAGCTAACACTTCTCTAGGCGAAATTTCTGAGACAAGCATTAATGAACATCAAATGGCAATTACTACTGTAAAACCTAAAAACAAACTAATCAAGTATGTCTACACTTCAAAAGTCAAGAACAGGTTGTTGAGGAAGTTATCGTGCTTTCTGTCCCTTTTAGCAGATAACAGAAAAGTGACTCCTCTTCAAAATGAGACCACACCAAGAATCAGAGCCACACAGATCTCTAACTGCGGAGCAAATCCTACTTCACGTCGGCCTCTCCTAGACTGTGTGAAGCTGGAACTGAGATGCTCCCGTTTCTCAGCAGCGTCTCTGCCACACCAACATGCTTCAGGAGAATGGTGACAGCTGGTGGACTAAAGCATTAAAGCACAGCAACACACAAAATACCAGGAAGCTCAAGGTCACAATAAGGGTGACCCCGACAAGGGGAGAAACTGACCATCTATGGCCTTCATCCTTTAAATGATAGACTAATGTATTATACTGGCTAAATCTATGGATCTGACAGTGATGTATTTTCCCTGTGTCAAAAACTCTACCACTGAACTGTTAAATCAGTAAACAAGTTTTGTTGAATTATTCTAGCACTGGATTATCTACTTATTATTTTTTAACAGCACACTTCTGCTGCTGCAAGGAAATCCCAAATGTCAAGAAGGTCAGTGATAAAATGAACAACTCTGTTTATTTGTTTTTTTGTTTTTTTTTGTTTTTTTGTTTTGTTTTTGTTTTTTCGAGACAGGGTTTCTCTGTAGCTTTGGAGCCTGTCCTGGAACTCCCTTTGTAGACCAGGCTGGCCTCGAACTCACAGAGATCCACCTGCCTCTGCCTCCCGAGTGCTGGGATTACAGGCGTGCGCCACCACCGCCCGGCAAAATGAACAACTCTGAAAGAGACATTTGAAGATCAGCTTTAAGAATGTGCCTTATCAGAGACTGGACTCCTGTGAAAGGACCCCTCTGGTTAAGTACAGGGATAGCAACCAGATCCCTGCAGTGTTCATCAATAGTCATGACAAATCATTTTAAAGTCCCATACAAACAGAGATTGGCTGGGCTTTGTTTTGTTCTTTTTTTCTCAATACTGTTTTTCTTTAAAAAATACGAGAGTATTAGGTACTGCGACTGTCATTAAGTCCAAACTTGATTTAGTAATGGGATCATTTCAACTCCCCACTTGTTGCTGATATTAAATGAAGTCTATGGTCAGACTAGAAAGCTGAGAGGAGCTAGGCGTGTGGGGAAGGTGCCAACCATTCCTCAAGTCTGTTCTCTGAAGGGCCTCATCAGACTCAGCACCATCTTTCACGTGCTGCTCAATTTCAAATGTCTCTCCGTTGCTTCTAACTTGAGCTACACAACAGTGGTAAGAGACAAGTGTAGCTCCCCCCCACACACCAAAGGCTGTCTGAGGAGAGGGCTCAGCACACCAGCCTTATCAGCCTTCAGGGTACACTCCCATGGTCTCTATGTACTTCCCTCTATGTTAAGAGGTTTTTCTTCTTTTCCTTAGTCACCACCAAAAACCTCCTCACTCCCCAGTACAGAGTGACTGTAACATACCTGAAACCACAACATCAATATCACCTCTTCTGTGCTAACCCTAAATAAATGGTTGCCAACTTGGTGTGACCCTTCTACTTGTGAGAACATACTCTTAAAGCAATTAAAAAGGTTTATTTTAAAATGTTCTTGACTTAAGAAATGGACAGGAATTTATGTAAATATATAAATCTCAATCAACTTCAGTAGCATGAATAGGAATAAATAATACAGATCACTGTGATTTGAATACCAAATCTCAAGCTTTTATCAAGGATATGGCAAAGACTGATGAAAATGGCAGGGGTGCGTATACAAAAGTGAGCACAAGGAAGAACATGTGTGTTGTACGTGTTTGTATGCACATACAATGGGATGTTGGGAACAGACATAGATAAACAAGTATAAGACTGGAAAGTGTCAGCTGGAGACAGAAGAAAGGACACTGGCTTAGCTGTACTCCCTACGTTTATTGGGGCTTCACAGCCTTAAGAAAAAAATCCACTGGCAGCACACTTTCTATTGAGAAGACTAAAATAAATTTCCACCCCTTCCTAGATAGCTCAAAATAATGCATTCTCAGAATATAAAGAGTTATATTACAAAACTCACTATTATGTAAAAAATATAGAGAGCAAAGACCCCTGATTCTACAGAGTGAGTACTCACTAAATACCCTTGAGTATATGAAGCTATTTAAAAGCTATTAGATTGGCACCTGGAACCCCCAAAACATCTACTCTCCCCTGGGAAAGAGAGGTTGTGCCTCTTTAATCATCCCCTAAATGCAAAGAGGTTTGACCCCCATGCAATAGATAAAAGTCACCCAAAAAATGAACAAAAGAGGTGTTTGGAAAAAGCAGAACACCATTCATCCCAGCTAACGACTTGTTCATTATGAGTGATGATGGATAAAGACTTCTCACGCTGAGATGAAATCAAGATTTATATGCATTGTTTCCTCTCCCAACTTGTGGGAAGATCATCATCATTTAATTCTATCTCTGCGGCCAGTGATGGGCATCCAGAGAGCTGGTTATCAAACGGCGCAGTCAGCTGGCAAAAGCCGAAACGTGCAGTTGGCACATCTGGACGGAGCCGCCACAGCCGAGGGTGAACAATGACTCCTGGCAAGCATCCAAATTGCTTGCAGACGCTAGCAGGTCTCATCTACAACCGCCCCTACCAGCATCTCTCGCTCTCTCTCTTTTTTATGAGAATCAGATTTTCATTGCTCCATTCAATTGCTCTCCTTTGCCATTTTTTACAGCTCTTATCGTTCCCCTGGAATATGGCCTTGAGACAGCTCATCCGTGTCCTTCACTGTGTTATCTCTTCTAACTTTTATTAAAACTTCAGCTTTCATCTGAAGATAGCTAATTAAATCTGGAACAGATTATATGCCTCCCCTTAAAAAGAGAACACAACTATTTTCTTCAAGCTGTGAAATGCCCTTTTTCTTTCCAAAAGGTGAGCTCAAAGATGTTTAAGAAGTCTCTTCACTTACAAAGCTAAGACACTTACTTGACTTGTCATATATGTGCTGACTGTAGTATAGCAGTCCGTTATAGATAAATCTTGAATTATTTTTGAGAATAACTGTTTCTTTTTTTCATAATATTTTTATTGATTACTTGAAAATTTCAGATCATGAGCCCTGAGCACACTTAACTTCCCAGTCCTCCCAGGTCTCAAGTGACCCCCTCCCCACAAAAAAAAAAAAGAGGTAAAAACACTAGTCCAACTTGTGCTGCCCATACACTTACTGGAGCATGGTCAAACTCCTGGTGGCCAGCCCCTTAAAGAAAATGGAGTCCTTCTCTACCCCCGCACCATATCGACTGTGGAGAGCCACACTTCAGCATGCGAAGCACAATTTTTAAGCATTCTCTTTGGTGGCTTTCTGTCTAGGCTGCTCCCTTTTTTGAGAGTGGGGTAGGGAGGAGGAACTGTTTCTTAATATTGATATTTGTGTTCTATATCCTTTATATATACATTTAATAGCACAAGTCTATTTTCTACACAAGAGTTGGTTAATGAGGAGGTAGAGATTAAGAGATTAACAGCTACATGGGTATATCAATTTATCTTTTTAAAATTTATCTTTGTAAGATTGCCCTCATTTAGTAAAAATAAAGAGAATGTCCTCCTATCCCCCATATCCTGAATTCGAGTAACTGAAAATAGTTTCATGTAAAATTGTGTGAAAACATGAAATTAGAAACAGTACAAGTTTCAGGCTTTGTTTTGATTCTGTGTGGTGCTGGGGACAGAAGCCAGGACTATGCACATGCTAGGCAAGCCACTCTGCCACTAAGCTATGTCTCTAACTCCTTAGTTTAGATTTTAAGACAGGCTTACATTAACTAATGGCAAACACAAATAGCTCTGTCTTAATTTACCACAAATTATTAATGATGGACTGCCCATAATTGATTTGAACATGCTCTTCTCACATATGCCATTGATCCAGTTCCTTCTAAGGCCCAAAGGAAGCTTTAAAAAGTCATTTTCCCCCTAAACTGTAGACCTGCTAATTAGCCTTCTAGAAAGGATAGCCAAAACAACATAGCCAGATAACCTACACTCCCTCCACACACACATACACATGCCCACACACATACAAGCACGCACACAAGCACGCACTCCTTTAACTAAGTTCTTAGCTTCTCTTGCCATGGTATAATTTAACTAACCCACCTGAAATTCTCTGGGATCCTTTTCGTCGTTTCACTGCCTTTAGCAGGATCTCCTTCATGGTGACCTTTGTGTTGTCCACTTGGATCAGGGAGAAGCCATGAGCAGCATTTCTGCAGGAAAAGACAAGCACAAAAGAGCCATCACTACAGCTTTCACCTTGGACAGCGGCAAAGTAACACCTTTAATCCTAGGACTTGGGAGGTAGAGGCAGCCGGATCTCTGAGTTCAAGGCCTGTCTGGTCTACAGAAACAGTACAGGCAGGATACACAGAGAAACCTTGTCTTGGGAAAACCAAACCCAACCCAACCCAACCCAACCCAACCCTACTTCTCAGAGGTATTCTAATGTAAGCAGAACCCACTGAAACAAGGTCGGGGTAGTGCAGGCTTTTCTAATTTACTACAGACTGAACCTAGCTGGTCTGCTGGGGTCAGAAGGAGGAGCATGATTCCCAGTATTGGCCTGGGAGCCAAATCCTGCAACAAGGAGTGACAACTGACAGAACCTGACTTATGTCAGTAGATGCCACTGCAGGCAGATACTATCATTACAAGCCCCTAGGTATCCCAGAGAAAAGAAAAAGCTCTTACTATCTAGTAGAACATCAGTCTGTTCTTCCATCTTTTGTTGTTATTTTGGTTGTTTTCAGACAGAGTCTCACTAAATAGACCAGGTTGGCCTCAAACTAACAGAACTCCATCTGCCACTGCCTTCTGAATGCTGGGATTAAAGGTGTGCCCCACCACGCCTGGCCTGATACAGCTTTTGATATACAATCTGTGTATATAAATGGTTTATTTATTCAGTCCTAGAAAAATCAAACTAAATATTAGTTTAAGCAAAAACAAGTGAAAGACAAAACTCTAACACTACTTGCAAGCTTCTAGTCAAATTAGGTTGAAGAAGGTTCATCTAGATTGAAAAATAAAAAAAGCAAGTAAACAACAAGGATGCTAAATGAACAAAACCCAAAAACCCATAGGCCATCACCTGCATGAGATGTAATTTTATAGAGACTGTTAGTTGCAGTGGCAAGCATCACAAGAACTACCCCTACACTAGGGCACTGGAACAAAACAGGCTAATTCCAAGCAGCTTGTGAAAAAAAAAAAAAAAAGGGACCCAAGTTTCCAACCACAGAACATGAGAATTGCTACAAGGAGTTTGGTCACATTCCCATTTCCCCATAAGAATCTCAAAGGGAAACATGGCCAAAAACCATGGCAGAACTTAGTACTAACAAATATGAAAGAAACGCCAAGCCCTGGGAAAGCCTCCCAGTGGTAGATTAGGCTGGGAAAGGGCCTGTAGCCCAGGTTAGATCCATCAGGAGGCTGGTTCTCTACAGGAGCTATCGGCTGATCTCAAAACCAAGGACCCAATTTGTTTCCCTAACACAGAGACCTCTCCACCATGCTCGTCTCCATACAGTGTGCTCTTTAATACTTGATGTTGCATTTGTCAACAAGCACAAAGCTGCTGCTGCTCGGGCCAGCGGATGCATTCATTTTAACTTGGTGAGGTTCTTGCTGTTGAGCAGCAGGCCTGAGAACTGTCGCACTAATTCTACTGAGCACTCTGTTACTGAATCATGCCTGCGCCCTAGACATTCTTTACTTCAGAAGCTGGACCCTATCCCAGAACAATCTTTAAAGTTTATTTTACTGATCAAAGCAAAATAAGAAATAGCTCTTTTTTTTTTTAAAAAAAAAAACCTCTATTTTGGGAGTGATGCCGTAAGTGATATTTTGGCAAGAGTACTGATATGTAAAGAGCCTTGTGCATTTAAAAACTTGCGGGTGTTTGCTCTGGCACTCAGCCAGTGTGTATTTGGAACAAATGCCAATCAACCCCACTCAGATCTGCCTTCCCGGCTTTCTCCTCAGAAGTCAGTACGTCCTCCATCTGTGACAATATGTTGGGCGATGGATGAGTAGGGCCAAAAGGAAACACAAACTCTCGGGGATTTGCAAACTAGCGCTGGCCCCGGCCTCAGACTCTCACCCACTGGGAGCCACCTCAAGGACAGTGGATTCTGCTGCTCATAAACTGCTGCACTGGCTCCCATTCTGCGGCCAGCCGACAGCATCATTCCAAGGCACTACTCAACTTTTCGGGAAAGGGCAGAGTAAAAGCCTAACAGGCAGTTTCGTATTTGAACTAACTTTCATAAATTCAAAGTGTCCTTTTAAAAGGTTTGAAGCAGAGGAAAACCCCACGTCTGTATTTTTCTGTCATTTTACTAAAACATACCTGGGTGCCAAGGTTAAAGCAAGCAGAGGAAATCCCTGGCACTTCCCATCTACAGACCTTGCTGATAAATTGTATAGCGGAAGAATAAAGGATTACCTTCTGTATTTTTTCATTACACTTTTCTTTTGTTACAGAATACATAAATCCATTGTGGCACAATGTAATATGTATCACCATGCTACACCTGCGGACGCTTCCGCGCGGCTGCCATGTCTGTGCAGTCAGGAATGATAAGTGAACCACCCGTGAATGTTAACGATAGTGATCATTCTGAGGTAACTCGGCTCTCCATCTTCCTTTACAGCCTCCAAGCTGAAGCCAGGGTAGCAAGGTTCACGGGAGGAAAATGAAAACAACAGTGAAGGGAAGGGGCAAAGCAGCACTTGGAACATGCATCCACGAGTGTGTGCTATCTTACTCTGGGTTCCATTTTTGTAAAAGCGTGCACATTAAAAGGAGAAGGTGGCCCTGCCCTGCAGACATACATAGCCCCATCCAGTCAGTTTCCCCCTGTTAGGTCTACATTCCATCTCTTTACCTCCAGACAAATGTAAAGCTTGGCTCTTATTTGGTGTGGAGACCTGCAAGGGAGAGGGTTCTGGGGGACACATGTACATGGCATTCTGAAGGTAGAGTGCAGGAGCAAGTGTTTTAGCACCTAGCTAGGTGTGGCTTTTAAGTTGGGCTCCCATCTAATAAACAGAAATGGTGATCCGCTACCACACTTCTCAGCTTGACTTCCAAACAGTCTGGATTTTATGCCTTATTTCTTTACATTCTGCGTTTTTTATGAGCTTTCTAAAATGTCTACCGCAATATATCTTTGAAAGATGCTCTTATTCCACAGAGGGCATCAGGTTTGAGACTGAGGAGACAATGGGCTCATGGGCAAACCATGTTGCTAGTCTTGCCTACCTTCTCCTGGGCTGGGACTTGTGTGGGGTATCTAGCCAGAATGGACAGGTAGGTCACTCACAGACCCATCATCCGGGCTTAGGACAGTACATCCTGGACACACTGAGCAGAGATGTCTGCCCTCCCACACCTCTGTGGGCTGCAGTGTGTAGGTACAAGATGAAACTCGACATCAGAGAGCTGACTAAATGCTGCCAGAAGTGTTTCAGTCAATTTAAAGCTGGGTCCTGTCAAGTCTGCTAACCACTGAAGAACACATGGACATTTAAGAAGAGATTACTCACTCAAGGAGCTCAATTCTGTGCCGGGGAAAAGCCACACAACCACCAAAGAGGCCTTTGGGGGAAGGGAGGGAGCTTAAGACATAGCCTGGCAATGTAGCTCAGACTGCACTGAACTTGAGACATTCCTACTTCAACCTCTGAAGTGCTGGGATTATAAACTTATGTGACTGCTTCAGACTTACCACAGAATTTTGACACTAGCATTAGTCCCAGACAATGAGTGCTTTCCTAAGCGGTAAGCCAAAGATGATGGAGAAACACAGGAAACAGGACAGGTTCTTATCCAAAAGCAAACAAAAACAAAAAAGTACAGAGACAGGGCAGGACACCAATCGAGAAGGCAGTTCATTGGGAAGGAACACACACAGGCTGCAAGTGAAATGCCCTGTGAGTGAAAGGCTGTGATATACAAACACTTCAGTGTCGTTCTCCCCACCCCCAGAGGAGGTCCCTTCCCTTCAGAATTGTTACAAGGGAAAAATACACAATGGAGGCTGGGTACCTGGCACTAGGGGTGGCAAACAGGGAGAGGTGCTTCCTAGTACTGGCTGTGTCTGTCTTGACCCAAATCATTACTCCAAAGGAAGAGGTCTGCTCTGGCTTCCACAAAGAGTTTTTATTAGGATGGATGGATGGATGGATGGATGGATGGATGGAATGCATCTCAACAGCCACAGCAGCACAGGGGCATTAAACGGTGTGATTAGCTGCTTGGTGGCAGCATTTAGGGACACTGTCAGAAAGTAGCCTTCAATCTAGGCATCAAAACCTCCCTGAAGGACAGATTCTGGGCTCAATGTTCAAAGTTTTCCTTTTGAGAGAGTAAAATTCATAAGCAGCATAACTCCGTGATTTTGGGGGGACAGTAGATAATAGAAAATCACTGTCACACTGAAGGGAAATTCAGTGAGAATTAAAAAAGAGTTTTTAAATTTGTATTACGTACATTGCTCACCATTTAACAATCCCAAATAACAGCAGTAACTACTAACTACTGTTTATTAAACATTTACTATGTGACAAGTATTATTTTAATTTGTTAAAAATGTTTATAAATGCATTCAATCCTAAAAGAGCACAGATATCATTTCATAGAAATGAGGCTGGTGGCATCAGGAAAAGTCTCCTGAGGCAAAACTCACACTCATCCTATTTCAGACTGAGAAGTCAACAAAATGGTTCCTAACATATGTACATAGTCTGTGGGAAGGAAGACCAAAACAGTTAACAGATGGCTTCTCTCTATATAGTCATGGGACACAGTATACCTGATGAGCCACACCTAGGAGAGTGTCAGAGGAGCTCCCTCAGGAGAGCTATCTCAGCATCACGCCATGCCAGGGAGAGGGAAAAATGACACTAAGGCGGCAGAGCATACCCAGCTGGAGAATACAATCGCTAGTTTGAAGTCAAGCTTGGCCTTTGCTGAGTGAACCATAGTTACTCTGGCTCATTTCCTCACAGGCAAACTGGGATGATAATAATTATTGGAATTGAAAGTGTTTATAATAACATCTGTCAAATAATACTTAATAAGCAATAACTAACATGTTAGCCATTGGCTGGTCTTTAATAAAAGAGATATATAACATTTGGGCATGGGAGCATACACCTGTCACTCAGCACTTGGAGGCTAAAGATCTTCAAGTTTCAGGCC